AGAGTGAGCCGCACCTGTGTAGAATAGAGAGCTGTGTGGAGTTGGACATACAAGAGTAAGTGAGGCTGAAACCGGTTTGGCTCAGTGGATAGAGCATCAGCCTGTGGACTGAAAGGTCCCAGATTCGATTCTGGCCAGGGGCATGTACCTGGGTTGTGAGCACATCCCCAGTAGGAGGTGTGCAGGAGGCAGCTGATTGATGATTCTCTCTCATCGATGTTTCTAGCTCTCTATCCCTCTCTCTTCCTCTCTGTAAAAAATCAATAAAATATATATTTTTTTTAAAAAAAAGAGTAAGTGCGGCCATGCCTGTGTAGAATAGAGAGCAAGAGAAGAGGAGCAGGAGACAGGCCTCAGGCGCCCTGTGAAGCCCACACCTGGGACAGAGGGGCAGTGTGCCTGGATGCACTCCGTTGAGTGCAGCTCTGAGAAGGTCCTACCTGGGTCCATTTCCCACTGGGCGTCCCAGGGCAGGCGGAAACCGCCGGCGACGGTCCTACCGTCACTCTTAGTCATTGGCATTGAGCTCCTGAGAGTGTGCCCTCAGGGTCAAGGCTGAGGGCAAAGGCAAGCGGCTGAAGGCTCGCGGCCAGTACCCTCTGTGGAGCAGGCGACCTTGAAGGGAGATGTGCATGGTGCCCCTCAGGCCCACAGAGCTGATCCTAACCACATGACACTCCCCCGCCACTCATCCCTCCCATCCCGGTGAACTGTGGGGTCCTTTATTTTTGTTGTTTGAAATCTTGATGCTAAGGCAGTCACAGGAGAAAAAGGCACAGCCGATTCATAGAAAATAGCAAATCAGAGCTCTATCAAAGGCAAAAAAAGTAATAGGTGAAAAGACATTTAGAATTAGAATCGGAAGGTATACCTTCCAAGTAACAGAGACTAGTCACTCATGTTCTGAGCCTCAATGCATCGATCTACACAATGACTGGGTTGAACTCAGTCCTCACTGTATATTTCCAGGAAGTGTTTTTTTATTTTTATTTATTTCTTGATCTCATTGGTAACCCATTCATTATTCAGTGACATGCTATTTAGCCTCCATGTGTTGGAATGCTTCTGGGTGTTTTTATTGTAGTTGATTTCTAATTTCATTCCACTGTGATCTGAGAAGATGCTGGATATGATTTCAGTCTTCTTGGACTTATAGACTTGTTTTGTGTCCTAACATGTGGTCTATCTTTGAGAATGGCCCAGGTGTACTTCAGAGGAATGTATATTCTGCAGCTTTGGAGTGAAATTTTCTATAAATTGAATATTGAATTGAATATCCATCTCTCTAAAATCCCTTGGAGCTTCAAACATTTAGGAATTCAAAACTGCCCTCTGAAACCACAAATTGTCCTGGTGACTCTGAGCAAGGGGTGAGGATGAATTTACAAATTCAAATGTAGTGGTTTTATCGAGGCCAGCCAGTCCTCACACGATGTTCCTATTTCCAAGTGGCTGCTCTCCTGCACTGAGACATGGCTGAGAGGTGGCGGCGTTATTGCTCTGCAAGGCGGCACTGCTTCAGCACAGGCCAGAGCTCCCAAAACGCCACAAAACGTCTTCCCTCTACTGAGCACATAAGAAACACTTCAAACAGAACTTTCCTTGGGGATTTTCGAACCCGACCAGTACTGGATGTGATGTAGGCACACACCTTGGACTCCTGGCAAAGGAGCGGGGGGGCAGGTATCTGTAGTCTTCACCACGCCGGCCGCCTAAAAGGCCTGCACATTTCAGCATTAGCAGTATTCCATCCAGCATGAGCATCGTCCCGTGTAGGATTTCCCGAGGCGTTTCACCTGCAAGGGGACATGTCAAGTAGCTTGTGTTTTCTTGTAGCCCAGAAGAAAGTATATTTTGAAAACAAAATACTGCTCTGGCTTTACTTTTGTAAGTTTGATCAGAGTGGTAGCTATAGCAAAGCTAGAGTCGGCTGAAGGCCTTTTCTTTGTAGGAGTGGTGTGTGTGTGTGTGTGTGTGTGTGTGTGTGTGTGAGAGAGAGAGAGAGAGAGAGAGAGAGAGAGAGAGAGAGAGAGAGACAGAGAGAGAGAGAGCAGGCAGATCTAGGGGGTTAGGGGTCGCACACAGGTGGCCTTTCTTTCTCAGCTGTCTCACAGAATACAGTGAGCTAATCACGTGCTGTTAGGTGGAGGCAGGGGGCCCAGAGCCCATGCAAGCATCTGCAAGGTAGATGGTGACAGATAGCTGGTGCCTTCCTAGACCCCTGGCCCAGGCAGGAATTCCACCCCTCTCAAGCCCTCGTCCTCCCCTCAGAAACAGCTGTATGAAAGAAGTACCTGGCCGCCTTTTGGCGAGACCTTCCCTGGCCCACCCAACCTCGGACCAGGACCAGCGAGCTTCGCCGGGGAGGGAGCGCAGATTAAAACCTCCCCCTTTTAATCGCCTGGGCTCAGTGTCTTGCTCCTGCTCCTCAAACCTTACCTGCCAGTCCCTGTTATGGGGTGGGGTCAGGCCTCCTACCGCAGCACCTGGAGCACGTGGACACCCCTAGAAGGGCCCACAGAAGCCCCGCAGGTCCAGCTCCAGGGAAGCCAGCTCCCCTTACTTTCCAGCGGGACACCCTTTCCTCCCGGCCCCGCTGCAGGCTGCCCGCCACCGCGCAGGCAGACCAGCCCCGTAAACTGAGTCTCCGGAGGGCGGAGGGCCCGCAGCCGGCCACGTCACAGACTCCGGAAAGGCGAAGAGTGAATGAATGAATGAGTGAATGAGCCCGCAGCCTGGAGTGAGAGTGAATGAGCCCCAGCCGCCCTCCCTCCCCGTGGGCTCGCGAGGGAAACGCCGGGTGAGCACCGGGAGGAAAGCTCTGGTCGGACAGGAGCGAACAAAGCGGACAGGAGAGGCGACAGGAGGAAAGAGGGAGGACCCGTGGCCGGAGCCCCGACCGGCTGGGTGCCAGCCCCGCCCCGCCCCACCACGCCCCCAGGCCAGGCCCCGCCCCAGACAAGGCCACGCCCACTTCAGGCCCGGCCGCGCTTCCCGCCCCGCCCCCAGACCAGGCCCCGCCCCACCCAGACCAGACCCCGCCCGCCCCGGGCCCGGCCGCGCCCTCGCCCCGCCCTCGCCCCGCCCGGCCCCGCCCCCTCGGCGGCTGCGCGTGCGCGGCGGGGCGGGGGCGCGGCGGCGGGAGCGCGGCCGGAGTTTTGACGTGGCAGTTGCGGGCCGGGCTGAAGTCCGCGCCGCGAGCCGAGGACCCGGGAGCGCGGACCGAGCGGAGCGGCGGCGGCAGGTAGCGCGGGGCCGGGGGCGCCCCTCCAAGCCGGGCGGGCGCAGCGGGCGCGGGAGCGGGCGGCCTGGCGGGGACCCTCCCTCCGGCTCCCGGCGCGGCCGCGGGTTCGGGACCGGCTGCGGCGGGGCGCCTCCCGCCCGCCCTCCAGCCCGGCGCCGCTCCGGTGCGGTCTGCGCCCCCCGCCCCCCACACCCGGCACCGCCGGCCTGTGGCTCCGAGCGCGGAGCCCGGGCGGGGGCGGAGGGTGCACCGCAGGGGCTGCGGGCTCCGGACCGGCCCGGGCCCGGGGCCGCGCTGTCGGGGGGATGCCGGTCGCCCTGCCCGGGGCCCTCCGGTGCCGGGAGCCGAGACCGGAGCTGACGGCTCCTGAGGAAGTTTGACGTGGCGGCCGGTGCGCGAAGAGGCGACGCCTCCGGGCCGCTGGGGACGGACCCTCCTCCCCCGTCACGGCGACGGCGCGAGGGAGCCCGCGGCCGCTGCCACGTCTGCTCCGCGCGGGGGGGGGGGCAGGGATGGGCAGGCCTCCGCCCCGGCCTCCCTGCCCCCCTGCCCTCCCCTCCCCGCCGCGGGCAGGAACGGGCTTTAGGGTGTTTGTACGCGGCTGGTTTGATTCTGGAGACGTACAGTTTGAGGTGAAAAGGAAGCCGAAGGAAGATGCCATCTCCAGAATCCAGTGGGGATTAGGAGTGCACCCTCCCCTTCCTTTAAAAGGCAGGCGCCCTGGGGGGCCGGCGGAGGAAGAGCATCCTGGCCTCACCGCGGGAGGGGCGGAGCCAGCGAGGGTCCTCGCTCACTCACCGGACACAGCCCCGCGCTGGCCGCCGAGGAGCCACCTGTGGCCATCACCCAGAGCCTTCTCCGTCCGTAGAAACTGTTAAGAACACTCCGTTCTATCAGATGCCTCTTATTTTGTGAAACCTGGAAAAGTGGAAAAATTCAACAACTTGATGTTGGTTTCCGAGTAGAATCAAGAGGGATATTGTGTGTTTGCGATTCTGCGTGTGTGTGTGTGTGTGTGTGTGTGTGTGTGTGTGTGGTGCCTGCCTAAACTCACAGGAAATTGCACTTTTTCCTCAGTTCCTAAAATGCATGTGCATATGTTCCTAGAGGTGTGACATCAAACCACAGTGTCTTCATCTTCGCCCACTGACACTCAGATGGTTGTGGGCTGCCACCTGGCTTGGTCCGAGTATGACTCATAAGTCCACGATCGACTTCTTTATCTCACGCTGTGTTCGTTGGACTATTGATTGCTCCCTGTCCTGACTGCCTGGCTGCAGTTACTAACGAGGATGGCACTAAAAGCACAAGCGATAGGACATTTGCTTTCAGAGTAGGGGCAGTCGTGCTGGTCGGTCAGCTGACTGGCACCGGTCTGGCCCGCGGTGTGCTGTGCTGACCTGGGCCCCGGAACCAAGCGCAGAACTAGCAGGTGCACTCAGCAGGCTGTGGGTGAAACATTTGGCCTTCCGGTGAGAAGGCGGTGGGCAGCTGTTAGGGTTCATGCCTGGGCATTTGCCCGGGACTTCGGAGGTGAGCTCTGAGCTCTGAGGAGCAGTGGTTAGAGCTTTCGGGGAGAATGGAGTGCGATGGTGTCCAGGCTGTCTGCTGTACCCGGTGCCTGCCCCTCCCTGCCAACCAGAGAACGCTAACTGCTTCCCTGTCATAGCATCGGGCGGGCGGCTGGGCCCCTCGGTGACAGTTTCCCTCTGTTGCAGGTTCGGTGTGGAGCTGCCTCCTGGACGGTCTTTTCACGATGAGTCAGCAAGGCTACGTGGCGACGCCCCCCTACTCCCAGTCGCAGTCTGCGATGGGCCTCTCCCCTCCCCTCTACGGCCACTACGGGGACCCCTCGCACGCGGGGGCTCCGCCAGGTAAAGGCAGGGGCCTGCCCACCCGGGGTGTGCGGTCCGCCTCCAGCTCAGAGAGCGGCCGGGGAGTCTGGGGGCCATCGTGGGAGCAGTGCTTGAGATTTAGGGTCACCTGTCACCGGGGAAAGGCTCTGAAGGAGCCTGCGTCCTCAGCGTGGCTGCTGCGTGGAATACAGCGAGTGTGGCTTCTAAGTTCACATGGAAACAGAAGCTTCCTGAGTGTTAATTTCAGACTTGCTCTTACTTTTGATCAGTGCTGTGATGTTATTGGAAACACTCAATAAAAAACTGTATCTGTATCCATAGGCTAAAGTGGGTTTGGCAATAATATTCTAAAATCGGTTTTGATTTTGGGAAAGTGTCATTAGATCTGCACATGAAGATTGCTCATGATAACAACACGGGAAACGTAGCCTTGAGATGATTATTGAACAATATCGGTTGCTTCGGAATATGAGACCCAGCAGGGAATCTTGGCTTTAGGGGCAAAAGTGGGGGGAAAGGAGTAACAGATGGGACTCCCACAGCTCTGGTGCCAGTTAACACATGAGCCCCCTTTATCAGGGGCTGCTGTGAGAGCAGGTTCTAGTTAGGAGCGAGGCCAGCACTAGCCTGTTTCAGGCTGATGGGCCCACATTGCTTGGGAATGTTTGTGTCAGACAGCTCTCTTAGCTGCGGAGAGGATGCTGAGCAATTCATGTGGAGCGTTCGGTAGGAAGGGCTGTGCTTGTGTTCAACACTGAGCCTCTGGGGCTCAGAGGCCTGGCTCAGGCATGCAGGGCACAGGGATAGCGGGTGCGGGGTGCGGGTGGCAGGGGCAGAGTGTGGGTGGCAGGGGCAGAGTGCGGGTGGCAGTGGTGGGGATGGAGTGCGGTTAGCGGGGGCAGAGTGCAGGTGGCAGGGATGGGGTGTGGGTGGCAGGGACGGTGCGGGTAGCAGGTGTGGGTAGCGGGGGCAGAATGCGGGTGGCGGGGACAGGGTGCCGGTAGCAGGTGCGGGTAGTTGGGGTGGAGTGCGGGTGGCGGGGGCAGAGTGCAGGTGGCAGGGATGGGGTGTGGGTGGCAGGGACGGTGCGGGTAGCAGGTGTGGGTAGCGGGGGCAGAATGCGGGTGGCGGGGACAGGGTGCGGGTAGCAGGTGCGGGTAGTTGGGGTGGAGTGCGGGTGGCGGGGGCGGAGTGCAGGTGGCGGGGATGGGGTGTGGGTGGCAGGGACAGGGTGCGGGTAGCAGGTATGGGTAGCGGGGGCAGAGAGCGGGTGGCGGGGACAGGGTGCGGGTAGCAGGTGCAGGTGGCAGGGGCAGAGTGTGTTTTTCTCTGTCCGGTTGTTCGTTTCCCTCAGGCTTAGGCATCAGGATAATTACATAAGTTACTTTTTTTGGTGCTCACTGAGAATCAGAAACGTCCTGTGCGTTATCCTCTCTAATGCCCCCGCAGAGCCAAGAGGTAGGTGATCAGCTTGCTCACGGTTAAGAGAGCGGAGTGTCCGGTATACTGAGGCTAGTCCACGGTCAGCACCAGGCTCACACCAGGGGCACACTCAGCATTGCCCACCCTCTCCTCTCCCCGCAGCCGTTCCAAGTGCTCCTTGCTCAGGGACTCTCACCTGCCGCTCAGCCCCGTGGCTCCGCCTCCTCCCCACTCTGTAGCCGGGGCCTCATCCACGGTCCCTCCTCCCACCAGGCCATCGGCGGCCTCCGGTTCCAGGACACGGCAGGCGCCGCCCTGTCCCCTGTGACTCTGTTTATCACGTTTGTCCTTACAGCCTCGCGTGGTGTCCATGACCTGTCTGTCCTTTGTGACTCTTGGTGGCTTTCCGGCCACGTCTTTCTGAGGAGCCCCTTCTGCGTGGCTGTTACGACTGCTGCTTCTTCTTCCTGTTCCAGCCCCCCTTTCCCTTGTGATGGGTCCCTGCACTGCCTTGTCTGTGTGAGGGGCTCGCTGGTGGCCGGCACATCACACCCATCATGGCCAAACCGTCCACGGTTTGTTGTTACAAAAGCCACGTTCCTGGTGTTCTGGCTCTCACTCACTGCAGCATCCTTCGTTCTTCCAAATGAGAAACGTTCACCTTCTCCAGCCCGTGGGTCCCCGAAGTCTGCTGGAAATCGTCAGCATCTTTCCACCTGCTTCCTCCTCCCTGTCCTCCTGCCACTCCCTGGCCACTGAAATGGCCTCACAGCCCCATTCTCCCGCTCTGCCATCCCAGGCCCAGCCTGGCCGCAGGCTTCATTCCAGATCCATTCTGACTCCGTGGGCTTCGAACCTTCTGGCTTTCCATTCCCCTGCGTGAGCTCCCGGCCTTCATCCCCGTTTTCTCTCCAGCTCCCCCGGCCCCCTGCACCGCACGGCAGTGGCCGGGCGCTGCCACTTGGAGGCCGGTTCGCACTGGCCCTGACCTGCACCCCCTCTCCCGGAAGCCAGTCCAGGCCCGCCTCATTCCAGCAGGGTCTCCCCGCATCCTCCTTCAACCGGTTCCGTGGGTGCTTGCAGGTATTTCTGCCATGGCCCCTCCTCCGGCTTAGGATCGGCTGCCACTCCCGTTCCTGCTGCCTGTGCCGCCTGTGCTGCCTGTGCCGCCTGTGCCTGCCGTTCGGTGCGGTGGTGACAGAGCCTGGCACGGGGAGCGCACTCGGTGCCGGCCGGTCAGGGAGCGGTGAGTGGCCAGCGGTGCGCTCATCAGCCAGCACTCTCCCAGCATGTGAGTCGTCTCTGTGCCACATCCTTCCTGCTTCCCGCTCTCCTCACTCAGTTCTCAGGGGCACCGAGTGCAGACCCTGCCCACACCCATCGGAGAATTCGGCCCTGAACTGGCCTTGCCCCTCTGGGTGCTCTGTCTCCGGCCGCACATGCCTTCTCTCCTGGTCTCCGGTGGTGCCGTTGGCTTTCCGGCCCACCAGGCAGGCGTGGTGGCTCCTCGGAGCATCTCTCCCGCAGGTCTGGAGTGCCACCTTGGTGTGCTTCCTCGCACACGTGCTCCCGCCTGTGCCCGGGAATGCCGGTGCTCGGCACCCAGGGCACAGGCTTGCTGGGCGCACAGTGGGCTGGGCGATGTTGCCATGAAGACACACACCTGCCCTCGCCTGTCCGCTTACGGGTGGACGGGCGTTCGGGGTGGACAGCGACCGCGCAGGGAGCACTGCTACCCGGCGGGAGGGGAGGGCACAAGGCAGGGCACCCAACCAAGACGTAGGGCTGAAAGGAACCTGGAGGGAATGTACTGGAAGATGAGAGTTGGCCGGTGGGGAGGCTTGTGGGTGGCACGTTGCAGGAGCAGCGGAGGGGTGGCGGTGGCGGTGGAGCAGTGAGAGGTGCCAGCAGTGGAAGTGGCATCTGAAGACTCCTAGGCGGGGGGACTGGGAGCATTCTAAGCTGACAGGTCAGGTCCTGTGTGTGTGTCAGGAAGAGTCACTCTCCACGGGAGGAGGAGGAGGAGGTGGCGGCGGAGGCTAGGGCACCACTTTGAGGAGCGGCTCTCTCAGCCTCTTTGCCGTGGGAGGCGGCGCTGTGGAGGCCGTTCACAGCCTGCCCTCTGACCTGGTGCTCGCCCGCCACGCACCCCCAGCTGTGGCACCAAGCACTGGACTTGTCTACTGTGCCACCTGGTTGGGGACACTGGTCTGGCCGCTGAGAGGCAGATGTGGGCGTGCTGGGGTGGCAGGGGCTGGTGGGGAGGCCGGGAAAGAGCGGGCTCCGGTGGGGACGCCACCGCACAGGCTGGGAGCAGCGGTCACGCCGAGTCTGAATCGCCCGCATGGGGGCTTCTCTTTGTCTGGAGACACGTTTCCCGCGGCCGTTCCTAACTTCGGCTTCAGTTTGTCAGATCCAGGGCCACGTCCACGGCATGTGTTTCTGTGATGTTTTGGTTGGGTTTCTTTGTTGATAACAAACCACTTTCACAGAAGGGATTTGTTAACTGGCATTAGGACGCTTAGAGAATATTAGAGGGAGCCAAAGAGCCAGGCCAGACACCCCCACCGGGCCAGTCCTTCAGAGCCACTGCCTCTCCCCAGAACCGCACCCCTGCCTGGCCAGGGCCCCCTCGCTGGCTGCTTTGCTGAGGTTGGAACCCCTGGCAGCTGTTTGTCAGGGTCTAGGAAATGGAGACTCCTGCTCAGGACCATCCAGAGAGGCCAGCGGGGAGGAAGTGGAGTCGGCAGGTGCCAGCTGCCATATTGCTTCTATACGGAAGGCGATTCGTGGTTTTGATATTTCCTTTTGGCACAAGCATCTGTAGTTCTTACCCATGGTTTGGTTTTCCTTTCCTTTTAAAATCTTCACACCGCTCTAAAGAACCTGATTTTCTTCATCTCAATCACTGACCAGGGACTGGGTCTTTGTAGATAACGCGGATCCTCCCTCCCTTTGCCCCGGATAAAGTCCAGATGGCAGGCAGGACTTTGCAGTCTGACCCTAGCCAACAAGACAACCTCTGCTCGGCTCTTCCCGTCTGCACAGGGAGCCCCTCCGTCCCATGTCCGTGCTCTCCGCCTCTGCCCCAGCTCTCTTCTCCCTGCATCCCCTCTGTCTCCACCCTGAGAAGACCCTCCGTCCTTCCTCTGACCTTCCCGTCTGTGCAGGAGACCCTCCCGCACGCCTGTGTGTGGGCGACTCTGCTAGCTCAGTCCTCAGGCACAGAGTGTGAGCCTGCCGTGGAGGCGATTTCCAAAATAAAGGGGAACGGACGTCTTAGTAAGATTGGGGTACAGCACAGGCTGCTTTCGGGGAGAGAACTTTTTATTTTTTATTTTTTATTGTTGATAACATCACATATATCTCTCACTTACTCTCCCTGCCCCCTTTACACCCCTCCACTCCCCTCCCCCTCCCTTTAGGTCTTCACTAACCTACTGGCCCTGTCCATATAAGTATATTGTAAGGAATACTCATGTTAAAAAAACCAAGAAAAATGTATACACACACTATAACCCAGAGGTAAGGTAGAGACAAGAGCATCAATGATGAGTCAGTGACCACCTAACGGTGCAGAGTTGTGCATTTGCTGC